TGTTGCGCTTGATGGCTTGATTCTGCTGCTGAGATAAATTTTTCTACGATTCACTGATGATCTGTTTTAATTCTAGTTTGTTGTTGGGAAATGACAGAGAGAATAGCCACGCACTTGTTTTTGAACTTTCGAAGAGGTATCCGTGTACAGTTTCCTAGGCGCACAAGGTAGTTACTGTCAGTGAAGTGCTATTATCCCAGTTATTTCTGAACTTCTTAGCCTCGCGTGACGAATTATTGCGATTCTTTTGGTAAATTAGTAAAATGTAAACACGTAGATTAAGCTGAACAGAGTTAGCTTATGAATTGGGTGACGGGATCTGAGGGGCTTGTGGCGAACTGGTCATCTGACACGTATTTGAAACAGAAGCTTCCTAAAGGGTGAAATGAAGGGATTAGGTTGTTTTTTGTACGATATTTTTTCCCCGAGATCTATTTTTTGTTGTTGTTTGGGCACGGTGTTCATTCTGCTGTAGCTAATAATCCCAAACATGTTGATTTATTTAAGACGTATATGACTCAGTGGACCGAAACGTCTTAGCTCACTCTTACCCCCAAACTTCACTACCTTTTCTTGCTTGCGTACCCCATCGTTTGGCCTTCCAGGATTGACCTGGGAGCTGCAACCTATAAACACACAGTGGATCGTTATCCCATGCCGTTCAGAACGCATCAAAGTCGGAATTCAAAATCCCTCTACAACAAAATAGCTGTAAAAGTCATAGACATTCGGAATTAGCCAGAAGCTAGCCAGACTTTTATGGTTATTTTTTACAAAGTTTGCATCAAAAATAAGCTGAACATTGATTATTTTTGAATGAATCTAGTGCTTTTTCAGCATCACAAAGGTTTTGCATTTTTGGAATATGAGATTCCGGAAGCGGCGCTGCTGGCACAGGAATCCATGAATGGTGTACTGATGGGCGGCCGTAATCTCAAGGTTAATGTTCTAGTCAGTTAATCACCATCTTATTTTAATTTTTTACTTTTTCCATTTTTATAATTAACAATCACAAATTGATTCATGTGTAGGGTCGTTAAAGGCCTTGCAGAATGGCGTTGACTACCAGTGACTCGAAGTCCAATATTGCCGGATATTCAGCCCACTTTT